GCACTATGCCACCAGAGCTCCTATGCTACCTAAAGATGTTAATATTGATATTAACTGTCATTATTAAACACTTTATATTTGACACTATATACGATATACTTTTCATATGTTAGATCATTTAATCTTTGAAAAAAAAGTTGCTCTAATTCTCAATTACAGATGTAAAACTTTGTTGCTCAAAGAGTTTAAGTAACTTATCCAAGGTCTCGTAGCTAATAAAGAGCCAATACTGGAACTCCTGATTCTCTAACTGAAATTTCCATGATCACAAAAGCCTTGCTGATTTTTCTGTAGTCGTGTAGTGCCTAAGGCATTTGACTGCTAACCAGAAGTTTGGTGGTTCAAACCCACCAGCCACTCCTCAGAAAGAAGATTGGGCAATCTACTTCCATAGAGATACTGCTTCAGAAACCCAAGGAGGGGTCGCTATGAGTCCAATGGACTCCACAGCAGTGACTTTGGTTTGGTTTGAATTTATGAAGTAGAAAGACAATGACTTGAGATTCAGTTTTCAAATTATTTCTGGAACCAGGGTATATTTCCTTCTTGTAACTCATACCTTCAGTCATCTGAACGATTAGTCACTTGGCAGTTGGCATTTCAGCAAAAATAATTCCATTCAAACCTTTCTAATGTAACCCAGGCAGCTGTAGGAGTTTTTTAGGCAGCAGGATCCTTTGAAAATATTCTGAGATGGTTTATTATTCAAACAGGAATGAAAATAATTCTGTCTGTGTATCTGCTTTGGTGTCTAGTTAATTGAGTTTGAAAGGAATACAATATGCTGCATTTAATGCAAAATTAGGTTAAATTCATTGGACCACTCCCTAGCGATTTATTCACTGCCTCGAGTGGGATCTGACTCAAAGTGGCCCCTCCTTGGGTTTTCGAGGTGGTACCACTGTGGAAGTAGATTGCCCCATAATAAATGTAGTTGATAAAAGTATGGAAACAGAAGTTGATATTTTAATGTCCTGACTCTAGCTTTAAACATTATACAGCCTTGTATAAGTCACCCAACATTTTTAGTTCTCAATTATCTCATAAATAAAAGAAAGAGAAATGGCATGAAATACAAGGAAAACTAGAAACTGATGTTTGTTAAGCCATGCACTTTGGTAAATATTTTACAATACATATCAAGATATATAATTTCGTATTATAGATGAGTCATTGAAACTTAACCAGTCTTGCTCATTGTCACGTTGCTAGAAAGTACATAAGCCAAAATTAAAGCCCAGGTCTACTTGAATCTGGAGCCCAGTGCTTTGCCACCCATAATGTCCCTGTACATAAATGATGCCTTTGTGAGAAAAAAGTGAAAGTAGCTTTTCTTAATGTGTCTTGTACAACACAGTAATAGTCATTCTTAGACCGCATGCCTCATTTCTATTTGATGATGATTTAATTTACTTTAACATGCTGTAGATTACAAACTCATTGTGATAGAACCTAGATAAGATCCCCTTGAGTATGTTCAACTGTGATGAGAACAAGTTGACCAGAAAAACTTTTTACTTTTAAAATACTATTCCACCTGTTTTGCCTGTTGTGTGTAAATTTGAGTAATAGTTGTATTAACTGGTCTTCCTTATAGGCGTATGGATATTATCTTATCACTGACTGTGCTGTACTTCAGGATAGATCTTGAAATGTTCTTTTTGACTATAAATGTGATGTCATTTCTCGTCAATTCGTCATTCCCAGAACAGTAGACCATATAATTTTTCTATTCAAAATGGCCAATATCAGTCCATTTGAGCTCACTAATGCCTAGGATACTGATCTTTATGCATTCCATTTCATCTTTTAACAACTTCCAGTTTTCCTAGATTAATACTTTGTACATTCTGCATTCCAATTAAAGGATGTTTGCAGCTTTCTCTTGTAATTTTAAGTAGTGCCACATTAACCAAAATTAATATTCCAAAAGTTTTACTCCATCCCCAGCATTAAGATCAACTCTCCTGCAAGGCGGCAACCCTTCCCCAGCTGTATTTTGAGTGTCTTCCAACCTGAGGGGCTCATCTACTGGCACTCTATCAGACACTGTTCTGATGCTATTTGCTGGCCAGTTTTTTCACAAGTAGATAATCAAGTCCTCCTTCTCATCTGTCTCAGTTTAGAAGTTCTTCTGAAATCTGTCCACCATGGCTGACCCTGCTGGTATTTGAAATACCAGTGGCATAGCTTTCAACATCACAGCAATACGTAAGCCACAACAGTGGGACAAACTGAGAAATGAGTGGCAGTAGATTACTTTAAGAGAGTTATTAACAAAGATATGAATAGAATTTAGAGAAATCAATAAAAGCTAGTGCAACATCTTAAAGGTGGCAAAAGTTAATGCTAACTCTAGGCCTGATGTGTCTGGGAGAGGGAGAGTTTCCTGGATTTTGGAAAAGGAAGCTGAGTGGAGTGACTTTAGTAGAGGGACATAGCCAACTCAAGTTGACTAAGTACATAAGGCAAATAGACAAATAATTGTCACATCCCTTCTGTTCTCTGAAATTCTACAGTGCTTCCATTAAGGAAATCCAATGGTAATGAAAGAGCAAAGCAGTCAATTGTTTCAGTCTCTAAAAGTCAGTTTCCTAGAGTACATATCTTGGTGAAGAGAGGTAAAACATTAATAATGGAACAAACTGAACATTTGGCATAATCCAGAGAGATCCAAAGCTATTGCTTTCAAGTTGATTCCAACTCAGTGACCCTTAAGACAGAGTAGAACTGTCCCATAGGGTTTCCAAGGCTCTAAGTTTTAGAAGTAGACTTCCTCATCTTTCTCCCATGGAGCAACTGATGGGTTATAAACCACTGACCTCTTGGTTAGCAGCCGAATCCTTTAACCACAATACTACCAGAGCTCCTTTCAGAGAGTTTGTTGTTGTTATTGTTATGTGCCATCGAGTCGGACCTGATTCATAGTGACCCCTCCTTGGGTTTCTGAGGCAGTATCACTATGAAGTAGATTGCCCCATCTTCCTTCTGAGAAGTGACTGGTGGGTTTGAACCACCAGCCTTCTGACTGGCAGTCAAGTGCCTTAGGCACTATGCTATCAGAGCTCCCTCAGAGAGGTTAGAGGGTGTTATATCAGGCATAATTTGGAGGCTATCTAAAGGGCTTTGTTATTTACTCTGGTTGGAATTTGCTAACTTAATTACTAGAAAATAATTGCTTTTACTTCCAGCTGGTCACAATTGCAACTGATGATGACTGAACCAGTATTTCATTTTCTCCTCTTTTCCTTCCTTTCTCCTCACGTAATTTCCATATTCATATTGACAATGCTCCCTGTGTTCAAGTTTTCTTTTATACTATCATATTGCACTGTTGTGGTGGTTGTTAGATGTGGTAAAGTCAATTTTGATTCATAGTGACCCAATGTGACAGAGTAGAACTGCCACACAAGGTTTTCTTGGTTCTAATCTTTATAGAAGTGGACACTAATGCATACTGACTACAAAATGCACATTTAAGTTGTCAGGGCCCCGTTTGTACCTAAAAGACAAATAGAATTTTATCATAGACACATGGCTTACTTCTTACAGCCTTGCATTGCTAACTCATCAGGATAGAAATCCCACCCACACCAGGGCAGAATAAGAATGGCAATAAAAGAAAAAGCAGAGGATCCTTACTCAAACATATAATGAAATCACTTATGTCTTTGTTTGCCATTTAATGTGTTTCCTTAATACCAGTTGCTAATACTTGTTTTAAAATTTTCCCCCATAGAGCTTTTTCTACCTGAGGAGTCTAGCTTACACTTAAAGGAGCAATGGTTAAAGTCTTTTCACCATATTCTTGATGTTTAACCAGGCAATAACCATATTTTTATGTTAAATGCATCTCATATCTAGAGTCAACTATAGACTAGTTATAGGACTAGAACACTCTTCCAGATTTTAACCTAGAAAATGCTTAAACAACATTGAATGTTTAGTCCTGCTTGTCTATATGAATGTACAAAGTGCACAAAAAATAGAATCGGAAGACTTGGCTGGAGTCTCAACTTTGCTATTTACTTGTAACCTGGAAAAAGCGCTGAGCCTCAGTTCTCTGATTTTTAAATATAGAAAGCAATGCTGTATAATTTAAATAAAATACTTAAATAAAACTTTTTATTATAAACAAGAGGACTTGTCATTTCACGATGATGACTGTGCAAAGATTCACATTAGTCCTACCTCAATTGTTATGTTTGAAAACATTATCAACTAATATAACTTAAAAAAGGTAGGCATCATTAATGGAATATTTTATGACAATGAAAGCTCAAAGTAAAATTATTCACGTCTCATTCTCCTTAGCATCACATGGATTAATGATAATAAAACTACTGCACATTGAGAGTTTATTATCGGTCATGCAATGTGCTATGGGCTTTAAATATACAAAGAAATAATTGTCTCTATTGTTGTTTTCTTCCTAAGACACAGTACCCAGCATAGTGCTTAAAATATAGTAAATGTTCAACAAATATTGCATTAACTTTCTCTTTAAGTTTTTGCAACATTTACGGAAGTATCTATTATCACAATTTGATTCTAAAGGCCTAGGGAACTTAAGGCATTTTCTCATGCAGTGAATGGGAGGAGCTCTGTGGCTTAATGCCTAAGGCATTTGACTACTAACCAGAAGACTGGAGGTTCAAATCCACCAGCCACTCCAAGGAATAAAGATTGGACAATCCACTTCTGTAGAGATAACACCTCAGAAACCCAAAGAAGGGTCACTATGAATTGGAACCGACTTGATGGCAGTAAGTTTAGGTTTGGTTTGTGAACACAAAAATTAAAGTCTTAATTTACATAGTTTATTCAGCAACTCTCAGAAAGTTGCTTCATTCAATAATTTACTTTAAAATATTAATCTCTTGCTGATTAATTATGGTGATGAGGAATTAAAGATAGTAATCATGAATTCCTGCCTCCCCACCTTGCCCTTTGAGTCAGAGGCGGTGACAATTGCTCTAACATAAAGGTGTTCTGTGCAGATCATCTGCAGCAGAATGGAGGAGTACAACAGCCATCAGGCTTTATGCAATGGAACCCCCGAGGGACCCTTACTGCGAAATCCTGGCAACCATGACAAAACCAGGACCCCGCGACTCCCCTCATCAGCTGATGTGGAATTTTGCCTGAGCTTGACCCACTATGAATCTGACTCCATGGATAAAGCTGCCAATTTCAGCTTTAGAAATACACTGGAAGGTAATGCTTTCCTTTCTTTCAATCATTTTTTTTTTAATTTTCTGAATTCATGTTAAAATTTCTTATATAAAATCCCATGCCCAGTGGTGTTTGATAATTCAGAATTTTCTGATTTGAATAAGGATATATGAGGTATGGATAGATGAATGGATGGATGGATAGATGGATGGACAAATAGTCACTAGCCCTAGCAGAGTCTGGGCAGTACACCATAATTCAACATATTAATAATGTTTCAGCAAATTGTATGGGCTTGGTATCTCTGTTTCATCTCTCATCATTTTTATTAGTACTTTCCTTTTCTTTGGCATAACTCATTCTAGACCTACATTTTCCCAGGCCGTATGTTTAAAGAACGTGGTTCCTTTCAGTTGTAAGTGATACTGAAGACAAATATCTGGACACACATTTTGCTAACTGTAAAGGCATATTTTTATCTCATAGCCTGGATAGGGTGGGGATACGAGTTTTCTTGGCCTGTGGGTATTACTCAAATGATTATAGCTGTGAGGAGAACAAGATTAGAGAAGCAGGAACAACGACAACCATTAGACTCTGCTATCTCAATAAATGCATGTGGAACTGAATTCTTGCTTTTGAATAAACCTTGCAGTTATTGCTGCTTTTTACCTTTTGGGCCTTATGAGAGGTGTGTAATGTACTTCTCATGGAACAAATTCTCACAGTCAGTACTGGGATGGAGGAACTTTGGGGCTTTTGTCTAGTTAAGTCATTTATGTAAACTCAGCTCTCAGATTCCAGTGCTGAAATAAAGAGTGAAAATGTGTATTGTGTGAGTTGTATAAAGAGACTTCATGTTCCCAAATAGAGCAAAGAAAAATAAAACTGTTATAAAAGACAGTCTTCTAATTAGGCTGAATAGGTGGTTCCTATGTAGTTAGGTTCAAAGAAGAATCTTCCCCTTTTCAAACCTTTGGATACCCAGGATATCCTTTATTTCACAGCAGGGATATTTACAAGGGTGATAATGCATAAGGCAATTATTCCTGAGAGTGCTAGCAGTTTTCAGTAAGGTGGCTAAAGACAGTGCTCCCTGAACCAAACTGCTTGAGTTAGATTCCAGCTCCAACATTTCCTAGATGAGTTACAAAACAAGAAAAACCAAACTCAGTGCCACTCATAGTGACCCCCACTGGGTTTCCAAGGCTGTAAATCTTTATGGAAGTGGATTGCCTTATCTTTTTTCTGCAGAGCATTTGGTGGGTTCAAACCACTGACCTTTTGGTTAGCAGCCAAATGCCTTCACCACTACATCATCAGAGCTCCTTAGATGCATTACCAAGAACAGGTATGGCTCTGGGGCTTAGTTTTGTCATCTATAAAATGATATGGAGATAAATATAGGAACTATAGGGTTAGTATAAGGATTATATGAAAAGCACTTAGAATATTTCTTCAGTAAATGGTAACTATTATTATGTGAAGGAGCTTTGTTGGTGTAGCGGTTTTTGGCTGCTATGCAAAAGGTCAGTGGTTTAAACCCACCAGCTGCTCCATGGAAGAAATATGAGACAGTCTGCTTCCATAAAGATTTACAGCCTTGGAAACCCAACAGGGGTCAGCATGACTCAGAATCGACTTGATTGCAGTGAGTTTGGCTTTTGTTTTATTATTATAAGAAAGGAGTCCTGGTGATGTAGTGGTTAAGGGCTTGGTTGCTAATGAAAGTTCACCTGTTTGCACCCACCAGCTGCTCTGCCAGAGAAAGACGGTGACAGTCTGTTCCAGAAAGATTTATAGCCTTGGACACCCACCAGCCACTCCTCGGAAGGAAGGTTGGGCAATCTACTTCCATAGTGATACTGCCTTGGAAACCCAAGGAGGGGTTGCTATGAGTCAGATCCAACTCAACAGCAGTGAGTTTGGTTTTTTGGTTTGGTATATATATAAACACAGTGTGATAGAGGTATGAAAATGTGAGATTAGTTATAAAAGTATGAAGAAAATCAAAGGCATCTGGGAACAAGGGTAAGATAGACCACAAGGACCTCAGTCTTCAGAACCCTGAGACCAGAAGAACTAGATGGACCCTGGCTACCATGCCAACCACTTGGAAAGTGATCTAAACTGGAGATCCTGGATAGTGGTGGAGGAAAAATGAGGAAGAAAATTAAAAAACACAAAAATGACCAGAATTACTGGCCATATAGAGACTGGAGGTACCCCCAAGACTATGGCCCTGGGCTGCACTTTGGGCCTAGAAATGGACTCACTTCCACAGATTGGCTCTCAGCCCAACAGTAGAAACACCTACATGCACAACACTTACCCCAGCGTAATGTACCCACTGACTCTAGGGAAATGCACCCCTTAGATCAATCAGCCATGAGACATCAGAGGGGCAGCATTCACATAGAGGGAAAGCTGGACAGGCAGGAATGCATAGTTAAGAGGGGCACAGGGAGGGGGTAGTCACAAGGAGGAGAGGGGAACAACAACAACAAAAAAAAAAAGACTGAGAAGTTGAATGACACTAGAATTTAGCATTTGTAGAAGAGAACCAACACTCGCTTGTCAGTCTGTTGATAGTGTATGGTTTAAAATCAGGAAAAGTGTACATCAGGGTTGTATCCATTCACCATATATATTCACTATGTATTCTGGGCAATAATCCAAGAAGCTGGACTATATGAAGAAGAATGTGGCATCAGGATTGGAGGAAGCCTTATTGACAACTTGATATATGCAGACAAAACACAAACTTGGTGACTGAAGAAGATTTAAAGCACTTACTAAAGAAGATCAAAGACTACAGCCTTCAGTATGGATTACATTTCAACATAAAGAAATGAAAAACTTTACAACTGGACCAATAAGCAACATTATGATAAATGGAGGAGATATTTCATTTTACTTGGATCCACAATCAACAACAAAGGAAGCAGCAGTGTAGAAATCAGATGTTGTAGTGTACTGGACAAATCTGCTGCAAAAGACCTCTTTAAAGTGTTGAAGAGCAAAGATGTCACTTTGAAGACTAAGACGTGCCTAACCCAAGTCAAAGTATTTTCTATCACCTCATATGCATGTGAAAGCTGGACAATTAATTAGGAAACCCGAATGAGTTGCTGTCTTTGAACTGTGGTATTGGAGAAGAAGAATACTGAAAATTCCATGGACTGCCAGAAGAATGTATAAATCTATTCTTGAAGAAGTGCAGCTGGAATGCTCCTTGGAAGCAAGAATGAGTAGAATTCATCTCACCTACTTTGGTCATATTTTTAGAAGGGACCATTCCCTGAAGAAGGATATCATGCTTAGTAAAGTGGAGGGTCAGTGAGAAAGGGGAAGACCCTCAACTGGATGGACTGACACTATAGCTCCAACAATGGGCTCAAGTATAACAAGGATTATGAAGGTGGTATACAACTGGGTAGTATTTCGTTTTGCTATACATAGGATCACTATGAGTGGGAGGTGACTCAATGTCACCTAACAACAAAAGGGAATAGCAAGAGGAGTGAGAAGTTTAAAATATACCATCTGTACCAATATTTCTCACTCTTTCCTGGAGAGAAAAATAATTATAGACTTCTAAGTGCCTAAAGCACTTGACTGCTAACCAGAAGGCTGGCAGTTCAAACCCACCAGCCACTCCTCAGAAGGAAGATGAGGCAATCTACTTCCATAGTGATACTGCCTCGGAAACCCAGGGAGGGGTCGCTGTGAGTCAGGTCTGACTCAATGGCACGTAACAACAACAATATGGTCACAGAACCCAAGGAACAGGAAACCTAAATTTTTTCTTATGTAGATGTTTTCCAAATTTACACTGTAAAACAAATAGTCCTTAGTGTTACACTAAAGCTTAGTTATCCTGATGATGAAAATCCAGGATCTAAAAATCCCTATATAACTTATCATCAAGGATTTGTCTAAAAACCTCACTCAGCAGAACACTTCTAAAGACAATGGGAACCATAAGAAGTTTTTAAGCAGATAACTAACATGATCCTATCTATACTTCAGGAAGATTTAATGCTAGTAGCTGTAGAATACAGAAGGAATAATCACTGAACAGTTGGCAGAGGATGAGGGCTTGATTTAAAGTAGTAACAATGAGGTTGAAGATTATTTTCTTAGAGCATAAGAGTTCTTCATCATTGACTGAATGAGGCAGAAAGGTGAGAGCAACTTGATAATGATTCTGAAATTTCTCCAATTGACTTTTAGTAATTATTGTTGCCTTCATAAGAAAGTCTGATTTAACTTTATATTTAATCCTTTCTTTCTATTTTAAGAGCTTGTTTTGCATTCAACATTACATGTACATTTAATTTCACTCTCCATTTGCCATGTCCAAACCCTAACCCAGTCTCCTCCCCTCCCTACTCTGTAACCCTCCCCCTGAGCCCCTCATATTTATGCACTCCTGTTTGTCCTGCATTTCCTCAATTTGAATGTTGGGACCAACAACATCTGGTGTCCCGTGGTCTATTGCTCTAAGGGATGTATCACCATAGAGTATGTGAGTGCCTCATCTTGGGTTGAGTGGTCTGCATGTACATCTAGTTAACTATTGGGCTGAAAGCCAGCCCCTGGGGGTGCGTTTTATTCCAGGCACAGAATGTATTCCAGGGCCATAGTATTGGGGGTCTCACCAGATTTCATCTGACCAGTAATTCTGGTCGTTATTGAGTTTTTGGATTTTGTTCCACGTTTTCCTTCCCACTCTATCCAGGATCTCCAAATTTGATCCTTTACTGAGTGGTTGGCATTGGTAGCCAGGCACCATCTAGTTCTTCTGGTCTTGAGGGCCATCGTGTCTTATGGCTGATTGCTTCCAAATGCTTTTTTTTTTTTTTTTGCATTCTTCTTTGCTTCCAATGCTAGGAGACCGTTAGCTGCATCTTAGATGGCACCTTGAAAGCTTTTAAGACCCCAGTCTTAAAATTACTCACCAATGTAGGATGTGCAGCAAGGCTTTTATGTATTTTGTTGTGTCAATTGAGTCTGGTGTCCCCCAGTACTATGGTCCT